AGCACCCTCTGGGGGAAGAAACTTCTCCCAAAATCCAGCCTGGCCCTGCCCTGGCCCAGCCCCAGCCATTCCCTCAGGCTTAGTCAGTCCACTGCCCTTTGAAACCACTGCAGCCAGGTACTGACCTGTAGGGAAGTGCCCACCAAAAAACACATTAAATATTTCTTCTGGTGTGATGTCTGCTTCAAATTCTGTGTAGTAATTGTAGTGCCTGGCCTGGCCAGAGCTGACGTGCTCGTGGTCACTCCCGAGTTCATCGTAGCGGAGCCGTTTCTCAGGGTTGCTCAGAACTGCAAAAGCATTGCCTATTGCTGGAGAGGGAATTAAAACCAGTGTTACATTCCCAGAGCTCACATTTTGGAACTGTAGCAGCAAAAAAAGCCCAAACAAGCCTAGGAAATTTGTGCTTGACCAAAGATTGAGCTACTTCTACAAAAGATGTGCAACAGCCCTGCCATTACCTGTGATGGAAACCACTTCCTGCTGTCACTGATGCCAGTAGAAACACAAGTGTCCAGGTATATGAGAGACTTGAAATATTTGTAAAACTGACATGAGAATTCACTTCAGCCAAGAAATTGGTGAGAATGGAGCATTTTATCAGCTCAAGCCAAATGCAAGTTTGGTCCGAGTGCACCTCCATATCCCACAGACAATTAACACAAAGTTAATAACTGCAGGCACCAATTAAAATGCATAGGGCACTCCCAAGTTTCTCCTGCTGCCTGAGATGCTCCTGAAGCTGTGTGGTACATCTATTTCACACCTCACATCCAACCACTCAGGAGGGTTAGTTTGGCTCATCTTCTTCTTTGATCTCTGACGGAACAAGTTCATAGACAAATACAACCCAAACACAAATAAAGGACAGCTCTCCAGAAGCTCCTGGTTTTAACAGACTGAATGAATCTTTCCTCATGCTGGGCTGCATGGAAAGGGGAAATATGTATGAGTTTAGACAGTAACACTGCAGCATAACTGAGAACTCCTGACACAGCACACTGGATTCAATTTCATATTCCCATACATATATATAAAAATTTATTCATGACAAGGTGCAATTACTGATGACAAACACCCAATTCTCCTGCATGGCCAGTGTCAGTTCCAAGTCCTGAACCTTCTTCAGTATCATGGAATCCCAGAACAGTTTGGGTTGGAAGGACCCATGAAGATCACCTCATTCCAATCCCCTGCCATCAGCAGGGACAGCTCCCACTTGATGAGGTTGTTTCAAGCCCCATCCAAGTTGGCCTTGGACACTTGCAGCAATCCAGGGGCAGCCACATCTGCTCTGGGCACCCTGTGCCAGGGCCTCAGCACCCTCACAGAGAAGAATTTCTTCCTAATATCCCATCCATCCCTGCCCTCTGACAGTGTAGAGGCCGTTCCCTGTGTCCTGTCCCTCCAGACCCTTGTAAAACTCCTCAGAAGTATCTGGGAATGACACCTGGGATGCATTTCCCATCGTTTCTATGGGAGACGTGTATTTTGCAGACAGAAATGCAAACCCTGCCGAGCCGCAGCAGGGTTCTGTGAGGCCGCCGCTGTGTCCGTAACCGCGCTGAGCTCCGCGGGCCCCTCTGCACCGGCGCTGCCCTCACGGCTCCCCCCGGGCCCCCTCACCTTTGAAGGCCTCGGTGGCTCCGGGCGCGCGGTTCTTGTCGGGGTGGAACTTGAGGGCCAGCCTGCGGTACGCCCGCTTCAGCTCCTCCTCGCCGGCGTCCCGGCTCACGCCCAGGATCTCGTAGTAATCGCGGCACCGCTTGATCCTGAGGGCGCACACGGGGTTATCCCGGGGCGCCCCGGGCCCGCTCCCCGCCTTTCCCCGGGCTCACCCTGCCCCTCCCCGCCGCCCCCCGTTCTCCCGCGGGCCCCGCGGTGCCGCTCACCGCTGCACCCCATCCAGCTGCTCGGCCGTGTAGGTCATGTCGGCCCGCGGCCGCTGCCGCCCCTCGCTCACCGCCCGCCGCCCCGCGCCGCCATCTTGTGCGCGGGGGCTGCTGGGAGCGGGCCCGGCGGCGCCGGCGGGGCGTGACGTCACGGGAAAAGGCTGTGACGTCATGGAGGGATCTGAGGGGAGCGCGAGGTCATGGTATGGTGGAATGTCCTGGAATTGTGGAATGTCCCGAGCAGGAAGGGATCCACCAGGATCACCCAGTCCAGCTCCTGTCCCTGCCCAGACCCCCCAGCAATCCCCCCTGTGCATCCCTGGTGTCCAAAGGCTCCTGGAGCTCTGGCAGCTTCGGGGCCGTGCCCATTCCCTGGGCAGCCTGGGCAGTGCCCAGCACCCTCTGGGGGAGGAACCTTTCCCTGGTGTCCATCCCAAAGCTCCCCTGCAGCCGTTCCCTCCTTCCCTGAGCTCTGCCCTGGGCTCCTCTCTGCAGCTGCACCAGCCCAGTGCCCTCAGCCCTCCTCGGGTGGCTCCTGCAGAGCCTTCCCCAGCCCCGGCCCCTCCTTTGGGCCCTCTGGAACAGCTTCAGAAAGGCCTTGGGGACACCGGTGACAGCAGCTGAACGTGAGCCCAAGGTGGGCAAGAGGCCAAAGGCTGCTGGGCTGTGCCAGCCCTGGGGTGGCAGCAGGGCCAGGGCAGTGCCTGTCTCCTGTGCTGGCACTGCTGGGCACCTCAGGGCTGTGTCCTGTTCTGGCCCCTCACTACAAGACATTTCCTGATTGGCTCCATTACTGCTAATGCTGTTGGTGGAATTACAGAATGGGTTGGGTCAGAAGAGACCATAAAAATAATTTTATTCCTCCCCCTGCCATGGCAGGGACACCTCCCACTGTCCCAGGCTGCTCCCAGCCCCAGTGTCCAGCCTGGCCTTGGGCACTGCCAGGGATCCAGGGGCAGCCCCAGCTGCTCTGGGCACCCTGTGCCAGGGCCTGCCCACCCTCATTTTATGACCTTCAAGGGCCTGTGGGAAGAAGGAGGTCAAAGGAAGAAAAACTAAAGCAGTGGTGAGATCCTATGGAATCTCAGAGGTCTGGGGAGATTTGTTAAAGCTTTACTTTCACTAAAAATCTATTTGTTCTACTTGATGTGTGGAGTCCCAGGTGTCTGGCAACTGGAGCTGTCTGGGTCCATCTAATTGGGAATTACCTGGTACTCTGTGTTAAGGAAATTCACCAGTCTGGTGGAGCCTGACTGAGTAACACCATTTTACTTTTCATGAATGTTACCAGAAAAGCTTAATTTATTAAGAAACAACTTATCAAACTACCCAGTGAAGATGTCAGAGGTTAAAATTTTGTTGGCTCTTACCAGGAGCTTTGAAAATGTTGCTTTTTTTTTTTTTTTTGCTGAACATTTTCTTGCCAGTTGCAAAGCACAGCTGCCTCTTGCATTGCACAAGGGGATGCTGCTCTTCCTGGTCCCAGGAAGCTTTGGGGAAGCAGTGGTGGAGATCACACAGAATTCACAGAATCACTGGGTTGGAAGAGACCTTTGAGATCACCGAGTCCAACCCAGCCCCAACACCTCAGCTAGACCATGGCACTGAGTGCCACATCCAGGCTTTTTTTAAACACATCCAGGGATGGTGACTCCACCATCTCCCCGGGCAGCCATTCCAGAACTTTATCACTCTTGATAAGAAAAGCTTTTTCCTAATATCCAACCTATATTTCCCTTAGAAGCTCTCCTGGCAAACTTGGGCTGCCACACTCCAGGAGCTGGAGGAGCTCAGCATTTTGCTTGTGGCCATTCATTTTACACTGAGATAAAGCCTGATCTATGCAGAGACTTTGTTCCTTACACTCAGCTGAGCACGTGGGGAGATAATGATCTGCCTTCCTGAAGCTCTGTTGTTATGAATAATAATCATAAATAATAAAGTGTTTAAGATGGCAATTTGCATTTCAGCAGCACCTTTAATTCATGGCTTTCAAAATGCTTTACAGACAGGGATTAACGAGGCCTCACAACAACCCTGTGAGGTAGGGGGATGTGATGTGACCATCCCACTGCTGTGGGGACAATGAGGGCACCAGGGATAAGGGGCTTGGAGCAGTCGTGCTGGGATTTGACCCAGAACTTGGACATTTCAGTCCCATCAGGCCTTCAGCTTCGGATCAGGCTTTCCCAAGCACGGGTCTGGCTCCACGTGGGGCTATGCTGATTAACGAGCCCGTGACTGCCTGGCACAGACTATAAAGGCCATTCATCTAAGGCAGAGGTTTATTAGTGCAGTGGATGGTGCCTTGGTGCTTCTTGCTGCTGGAATTATCTGAGTGTTTGAAGGCATATCAAAAATAGAGTTAGATATCAACCACCGAGTGTGGCAGGCTGTAACTGGAGAAAGCCCTTAGGCCCCAGGTGGGGAAGCTATGTAGGACACTACTGTAAATGTACTGATCAGAAAGGACATAATAATTTATATATAAAGTCCACCCTTGCTCTTTCCCCAAAGGAAAAATAAAAAGAACCTAGAAAGCCACTGCTGGTTGTCACATGTCAGCTTCAAGCTCTGGGCTCTTGGCTTCATAGCACCTGCCAAAAGAACAGAACGTGGTCATCAGTGGCCTGGCTGGGCTGACAAAGGCAGTAGAGCAGTGTGCTCTCCCAAACTCAGTCCCAGCTTTAAAACAACTGAAAATGATAAGAATTCCTCATGTGGGATGGACCTGAGAGCCCTGATGGGAATGTGCTTCTGCCACCTGAGGGGCAGGAGTGGATAAGCTGGGCTGGAGGGTGAGACCTCAATTTCTCACAGACATCTCCATTTAATGGCAAACCCCTCCAGCTTTGCAGCTGGCCACAGGTGATGTCACCTGTGTACATGAGGTAAACTTGGCACCTCGAGTTCAGCCAGCCCAGGTAAACTTGAGATGGGCACTCAAACTTTTCAGGCTCACTGGAAGCAGTTTGGACCATTAGAAATTTGGTGGCAGCTGGTTTTTGTCATATTTCTGAAGGAATAAAAGAGCAAAGAAATACCTCAAGGCATGCTCTTATGCCTTTTGCTCTTATCCAGCCAGAGAAATGATCCCCAGCTGATTCCCTAAAAAGCAAGGCTGAAGAGGGAAACCTTTTCTGACGGGGGATAGCTCATGCTGTTGTTGGTGTTGATGTTCTTCATGGAGATCAGAGTGATGCTGTTCCCCTTCTGGCTCATGTCTGCCGAGCAGCTGCCAAGGAAAGGAGATAATTAATTACTCTGGGAAACAAGAGAGGGAATCACAAAATCACAGAGTCACTGAGGTTGGAAAAGACCTCCAAGATCATCGAGTCCAGCCTTTGAGTAATCACCACCTGGTCAAGCAGACCAGAGCACTGAGTGCCACGTCCAGGTGTTCCTTGGACACCTCCAGGGACAAAATTTCTTTGCAGAGAGCTGGAGACAAACAGGCAAGGCCGAGGCTGGTGTGGGGGACCAGGTTTGGTTTCCACCACCCACTGAGCTGCTGTCCTGATTCAGGCGCATCTATAGGGAGTTACAAAGCTTGGGAAGGTGGAATTCCCCCTTTTTTTCTACCTTGAGGGCTGGGATGTGCATTCCTTGCCAGTGGAGGCTGGATGGCTTTGGGATCAGGAAACCTTAGGCACTGTCCTATTTTCTGGCATGTTCTGCCTCAGTGGCTTCAGATCCCTTGGATCACCATTGTTAAGAGTATTTAGTGACCACTGATGCTGATGCAAATTTGGCACCTAAATACTCACAGACTTTGCTCCCTGTGTCCTTTTCCAGGGTTTAGGAAACTATCAGATGGAAAAATAGCAGCAATATGTTTTAGTCCCTTCCAGCTCTTGTTTCTTGCTGTTTTCCCATATTCAGCCTCTCCTCTGGAATAGCAGTGATGGACCATGGGGTTCTTATGGGCCATTCTCTGCTTGATGCTTCTCTTCCAAAAGTCTCAGAACTGGGGCTCCTTTGTCCTGCTCTCACTGGGAAACAGTAATGGGCATCTTGGGAGATATCTGAGACTGCTCTGAGATCCAGAAACTCGATTTAGACCTCAAGGCTCTAGCTAGGCAAGAAAGACAATCTGCTTCGGGAAGGTGGGGAGTCTTCTCTTAGTGCAGCTTTGAGATGAGCCCCCTAAATATTGATCTATTTATGTCTCTATCAGAGGATGAGGTGTTATCAAAGCTGATTTTGCTTTTCTAACTCTCTCAAAGATATCTTGACAAGCTTCCTTCCACCTGAAATAACCAAAGCAGATTCTTTTCCTTGCTAAAATTAGCTCTGGGATAAAACAGGCACTCTCAATCAGATGTGGGTGGCAGGAGCAGCCTTACCTCTCTGATACCATGGAGCTTCCTGGTTTCTGTTTGTCTGGGGGGAGAAAAGCAGGTGGTGATGTAGAGGTGAGAAGTCATAAAATAAGTCAGCTCTATTCTGAATTACTTTGTGCAGGGGTATAAATGAAATCTGAATGAGCTTGGAGACACTGTGGGGGAAACTTGGGAGTTGATTAGAGAAAACCCTTCAGCTAAGGGGATGTACAGGCAGGAACTGCTGGCCCTGCTGGGGTTTAGGAAGGATTCTGCCTTGCTACAGAGCAGTCTTGCCCTCTGCTGGGCACTGCTTCGTGGAAAATGGGATTCCTAAGGAAAAGGAGTGTCAAACTCCATGATTTTTACTGGAAGAGCTGCCCACCTCTTGGAATTTGAGCTGCAGGAAATTTGAGACCACATCTAGATGAGGCTGGGCTGGGGCTCTAGCGAGGAGGTCACACTGCATTCCTAACTGCTCAATCTATGTTCCAGTCTGGCTTCCAAACCTCCCCACCATGCTGTAAGCTTTTCAAATGCATCTTTTAGGAATTGCCAGATCCACACGGAAACTGGTGGTTTGTTAATTAGGGAAGCACAGATTCCCCAGACAGATACCTTCAGGGTCCTTGGAGTGGTTGCACTTGAACCTCAGGCTGACCACACTGACCAGGATGATGACCACCACTATCAGGATAACGACAAAGCTGATGACACCTGGGGATGGAGGAAAGAACTGTCTGAGCAGCAGAGAGACTGACATCAAAACTTGGCTAGGAAATCAATATTTTCATTAATGTGAGCATGGCTCGTAATAGGCAGAGAAGCAAACAGTTGTTAGAACAAATAGCTTTATCCTCCTGTGTTTTAACCTCAAAGGGCTGCTATGAATACTTAATCAATAAATAATTAATTGGTAAGGCAGTGCCAGGAAGGCAGGAGTCAGCTGATTACACTGGGGATTGATAAGAGTCCGTATGTTCCTGCTACAGTCGGTAAATCTTATCCCAAAAGTGTGTAAAGCCAGATAAATAAGTAATGTAAGAGGGAGAGACAACATAGAGCTGTGGGTGATGTTATCTGTCCCATAAACCATCTTTAGACACTTTAAATCAAGTGTGGATTTGATACTGACATCAGGCCTCAATAATTCAATTCTTTGCACAGGAAATTTGTCCTGCTAAGAATCCCTCGGACTTAGAATCCTGGAATCATGGAATGGTTTGGGTTGGGAGGGACCTTAAAGCTCATCCAGTGCCACCCCTGCCATGGGCAGGGACATCTCCCACTGTCCCAGGCTGCTCCAAGCCCCAGTGTCCAACCTGGCCTTGGGCACTGCCAGGGATCCAGGGGCAGCCACAGCTGCTCTGGGCACCCTGTGCCAAGGCCTCATGGAGTTGAGTGTCCAAACCAGCATTTTTTTCTCCTAAAACTGCCCTAAACCAGGACACCTGGTGAAAAAGAACCCCTCCTCCCTCCAGGTGGCACAAGACCTTACCAAAAGCTGCCACTGTCAGCGGTGATTTCTCGTCTGTCGGGGTGGTGGACTCGGGCCATTGGCTGGAGGAGTTGGGTGCTGGGGTGATGGGTTTTGAGGTGCCTACAGAGGGGAGAAAGGTAGATTTACATAAAAGTCATTCTTCCACGGCTGGGAAGAGGATTCCTAGCAATCCTAGAGGCCCTTACTCTCACTTGCACTTCATGAAGAAACCAAGTTTGGATCCTGGCCAGGCCCATCAATATTAAGAGCAAAGTGAGCGAGACCTGTGCGGAATCATTGCCTTGGTGGGGCCCCCTTTATGGACAAGCTGAGAGCACCCACAGGGTTTCCTTCTGGGACCTCAGTGGGGAAAGGTCAAAGTCAGCACTGGCACTGTGTTTGAGGAGGGAATTTGTCCAGCCTTCCTGCTTTTACAACCTTTTGCCATAATGGCACCTTTCCTGCTGTTCCCAGGCTCAAGAGGTTGCCCTGAAGTGCTGTTCTGCAGAGCTTTACAGGCTTTTCAAGGGCTGGATGGGATGTTCATCACCCCTCAGGAAATCCTTGGTGTCCATGCTGCCTTGAAGACAGCTGTGTGATGGCCTTGCTGCTGGCTGTGCAGAGGAATATAAAATATGGAGCAGGAATCACCTGTCTGTGAGGAGGAAGCACCTTGAGTCGCTGATGTTGTGGTGCTCTCATTCCTCATGTGATCCTGACCTGCACAGAGAGACACAGAATGTGAGCATTGACCTCCAGTGACATTCAAGAACCAAACTGATGGGGAGGAGAATGGATTCACAGTAGTGCCAGTGACATCTGGGGAAACCTGGAATTAATGCTCCCACCTCTATACTAATAGCTTCCCACCAAACATATTTTGTCCTGTTTTCCATGTCTAAATGAAAACCTAGGGCACCAAAATTCAAATCCCCTTTTGTGAACTCTTTAGGGTCTGCAGTCCCAGTTACAGGTTTGGGGCAGAAAGGCAAGGCAGGGCTGGAAGACTGAGCTGGGAAGGTTATAGATATGCTGTAGGTCATAAACATTGAGACTTTAAAATAAGTCTGATTAGGGGAAAAAATAATGCAGTATTTGGGTGCAGATTGAGTGTTTGGCTTGTCCCTGGACTTGAAATGAGTGGATTTGCTATGCTGGGTTATCTAGAAGTAATTAAATCTGTTTGAGTTGGGCTAACTTGTACACTATATGTAGTCTAGCTGTGGCAGCACAGAGGATTGTCCAAACAAGGACTCCAGTTCTCAGTGGGATAAACTGGCTTGTGTGAAGCTGCTTGGTTTGTGACAGCTGCTTCCAGTGCCTGAGCAAGGAAATGTGAAGCCAGCCCATGTGTTTTACTTGTACAGAGAAAAAACATCCTTTGCTGCCTCCAGGCTGTTGTTGAACAGCCAGAGTGTCTGCATCAACCTTAATGAGCAGCTACAGGTCCTGTCAGGAGACTCAAAGTGATACTTCAGAGCTTCACAAGATCATCTGTAGGTCAAGCAGGATCTTCTTCCCTTCTTTCCCATGCCCAGGCTCCCAGCAGCAGCGCTGGCCAAGGGTTTGTGGTGCCTGGAGGGGTGTGCACAGCTCCTGGCACTGCCTGGGGAGCTGCTGAACCCAGGTCCTGTCCCACAGCAAACATCCCTGATTTGGAATGGCATTTTGCCAAAAGCCAGGAAAAGGGGAAAAGGCACGAAATAATGAATCTAGCCATTTCACAAGGAGCAGAAAGTCTGGAGAAGCAGAGTCTGCTGCTGTACAATTTTTTGCCCACTCATCAAATTCTTTGTTTAATTCTGAAATTGTTCTTCTAGCCACAGGCAGAAGCTGTGGTTTGCTGAGCCTGGCACGGATACCCCATCCCTGGGAAATGTTGGGTCTCACACAATGGGAGACCTGGCTTTTGGAAGCATCAGCATCTTTATTCAAAGATGTGTGGAGCTTCTCAGTGGTAAATCAGGGCTGGGATGGACAGCAATCTGCTCTGAGCAAAGGGCTCCTGCCTTAGGTGGGCACAGCCATGCTGGGTGGGCATCTGTGTGGGCACAGCTGACCACAGCTTCCTCACCTTGCTTCTGTTTGGAGATCTGAGAGGTACTTGGAGAGGCAGAGCACTTTCTTGACCACTGCAGATTTTTGGGGTTGAATTTTTAATGGAGAGTCAGCTCAGCTGTCAGATTTCAGTCTTCCAGTCACTTGGATTCTGCCCTTATTCTGAGAAAACTCTTACTGAATTCTCTAAATTTTACTTACAGGTTAGGTTAAGAAAACTGTCAAAAGCAAAATTATATTTATTTTAAAAGATTTTCAAAGGACTCCCCTCTCCTAAACATAGATCCATTGTTTGGCTGTTCATGTCCATCCCAGCAGAAGATGTTAAGAGCATTTATCTCATGTGTTATCACTGCGTATAAAGACACCAGGTGTGATTTTGGATGGCTCACCCCCCAAAAAAGACTCATGCTTAGAGAACCTGTGCCATTGATTACCATCAAATTATCTGATCTTATTGTTAGCCTCTAAAAGGACAAAGTACCTCGAGGTGCTGGAGAAGGAGCTGCCGTGCTTCTGTTTCCACTGGACTTATCATCTAGATAAAGAAAACATGGGAAAGGACAATTAACTTGGGAAGCCACTCCAGATTCCACTGTGGAGAGCTGCTGGGTGTCCATGGAGTAAAAATCTTTATTTGCATGCTGCTTTCCCTCCAGACAGACATCAGGATGCCCAGGTAGCCAGGTGTGGAGTCAGCTCAGAGTGTACCTGATGGGTGAGCTTGGGAGAGGGAGCCTGGGGACACTGGAGCTGCTCCAATATTGGATAAACCATGATCTGGATTTTCTCATATGGGCTTGGCCTGGATTTTTCCATCTGGGGAGCTGGAATGAGCTGCTCTCTCAGCAAAAAAACCTCTGAGAAATTCAAGATTTGCAGAATTGCTGAATAACCAGCACAGTGTGGACTAGGCCTAATATTCTGATGCCTGCAGTTTGGCTTGGATAAGGAAGGAGGCACAAACAGGTCCTGCCTGAGCAAATATTTGAGTTTTCCATCCTTACCTCTCTCAGTGATTGCTGTCAGGGGTGTTGTAGTGCTGGGGGAGGGTTTGGCTGTAGTAGTTTGACTCACAGAGGTGAGGCTCAGGTTCGTCAGTGGTGTTGCTTTTACTGATGGCTCTGTAGAAAAATTGTGGTGTTACTTCAAAAGGTTCAGCTCAGAAACAGCTTGGAGAGGGCACAGCTATTGCAGAGCCCTCAAATTTCTTGAGAGTTAGGAATCATCTGCTAGGGGAAGCATGGAAATAGCCTTCATTCTGCTCAGAGTCAAGGAGCTCTTGTACTTTGGAATTTCCTTTTGCTCTTTTCACTGTGAGGAGATGCTGAGCTGGCAGAGCTCAGCAAACATGAGGAGAAAGTCAGGGTCTGCCACAGCTTCTTTCCCTGCTGTGAAAAGTGAAGGTTCTTGTCACCAGACACTTGACCTGCCTGGAGCTGCCTGGCACCACGTGATCATTTCCTTGTGCTCTGAAATGCCAACTTCCCCCTTTCATTTCACTGAGAGTCTCCAAGCACAAATAATTCAGCTCTTGAAGTGGTCTGCAGGCTCCATCCTCTGCCTCAGCCTGCTCCAAACTGCCCCTGATCCAGAGCAAGATGTGAGGGGGAAAGCTTTCAATAATCCCTCTGCAAGGAACAGTGGATCACCAGCTGGGAATTGATAGGAAACTTCCTTGCCAAGACTGCTCTTGGCTTTCCAATAAATTGAGAAAATGGTGAAATGGTTTCAAGGTTAGTGTGGTGGGGTTTTTTTCCACTTTATCTAAATGTTTCAGTGAAATATTAGAATTTGGGATAAAGTTTAAGCTTCTCTTTTTTTTTTTTTTTCTTTTTTTTTTTTTTTGCAAGGCTTGGAGGCAGAAGCAGAGATCTTTTTGAGATCTTATTCCTTGATATTTTTGGGATCCTTCTGGAAGGGTAGCTATACTTAGATTTTTTTTTTCCTGACACATAGCAGGAAGAGATCTGTCTCCAAAGATACAAGTGGACACTAACAGACATGGAGCTGCAGAGATAATTTCTTGTGTAATTGGTTTTCTGTACATATAGAAAAATGTAGGAAGGCTTGTGTTGGAAGAGATCTTAAAGATCAGCCAGCTTGGACAGGCCTTGGAGCAGCCTGGGATAGTGGAAGGTGTCCCTGCCCATGGGGAATGGGAGGAGCTTTAAGGTCTCTTCCAACCCAAACCATTCTGGGATTTCACTCTGTGATCATCTCACTCTCCCTATGCAATTTAGTGATTTCTTTGCCCCTGGTTTTGCTCACACCTGTGCCTTGATCCCTGTGGGGTGAGTTGGCAGGATCAGAAGCCCTGACACCACAAAATCTCCTTCCTCCTCACCACTGTCCCCTGCACAGCCCCAGTTACTGTGGGGTGGCCCAGCTGGGCTGAGGTCAGACCAGTTCCCCTCTGGGATGTCCCCAGGCCAGTCTCCAGCTGGGCATTACCTGAGCCGTGGTTCTTGGCTTCAGGGCTGGGTGTTGTTGGTGGGGATGAACCTGGAACACAAGCAGAGGCACAGAGGTGACATTTGCAGGCTGGTGGGATCCCACAGGGAGGGTTGGAGGATGGGCCAGAAAGGGGCCATGGTTGCCAAGGAGAGCAGAAAGGGTGAGGGGAACAAGAGATGCTGAGGAGAGGGTTTGTCCCTGGTGTGGCTGTAGGGACCAGCTCCATGGATCCACTGCTGCTGGGGAACAGCTGGGGAGCAGGGAGCAAAGAGCAGGCAGGATCCCTCTGCTTTCCCCAGGCTTCCTGGGACACAGCCTCACTCCCTGCTGGAACAAAGGGAGCCAAGGCAGGTCACCCCTGGGGCACAGTGCCCTCCATGTCCCCTGGAGGTCTGGGGGTGGCTGCTGATGGATGGGGCAGGCAGAGGCAGGATCCTGGGAGAAGATCCCTCAACAGATGGGAGTTTGGGATCAGGGTCCCATTTGGGGCTTCTTCCCAAATCTGCATCCCCCCATTTCCACATTTGGATGCATCCACATCCAAACAGACACATAAAGCACATCACAAGCAGAGGTACCTGTTCCAGCAGGGGTGGAGGAGTTTGTGGGAGCTGTGGAACCTGAAAGGGAAGAGCAGAGGGTGAGTGGTGCTGATCTGTGGTGGTCACTAACACACTGCTGTTCTTGTTCCTTGTGGGGTTTGGGTTTTCCCCCTCTTCTGTAGGAATGACTTGGAAATGTGGGATTGCCCCAAAAGCTTTAGCAGAGAAGTAATAGCAAAGAAGTTTTACTGAGTGTAAAACTATCAGGCTCTGAGTAAATTAGTAGTGGAGTTTATCCAGCCAGGATAAATGTCCTCCTCTACTTTGAGGGGCCACAGAAATCCATGGGGTCATTCCCTGCCTTTGAGCCCAGCCCTGGCAGAGCAGGGTGTGTGACCTGTGTTCTGGAGCTGTTCAGAGGTAAGACACCCTTCTGAACACTTTGTTCCCTTGAGACTTTAAGAATGGATGGATGAGGTTTGTAAAGGCTTCCAGGAGCTGGTGGGACTGTTCTCCTTCCTGTCCTGTGTGTCCTGGGAAAATGAGGCTGGAGGGAGCTGCAGCCCTCAGGAGCTGCCTTCCCTGTAGGGCTGGGTAGTCCTGCAGGTCCATACAAGGCTGTAGGTGTTCACTGTGTCCCCAGTTGCTCAGCTGAAAGGGGCCTTTGTTTGGTTTATTTGTTTGGTTTTCTTTTGCATTCATGACAAAGCATCCCTGCTTCAATCCCTCACATTTCCTACTCTCAGCATCCGTGATGTTTTCCTGTAAATCCCCAACTCCTGGGGTCCTGTGGTCATGGAGTCACAGAGCAGAGTAGTTTAGTTTGGAATGGAACTTTCAAGGTCATCTTCCAAACTAAACCCCCAAGGGTTAGATGAGATGGCAATTAAAAATGCTGCCCTTGAAAATGGGAGAAAGAAATGTCCCACACTTGAGGACAAGACCTGAAAAATGTAAATACACTTTAAATGCTCAAATCCAACCCAGCTGGTTTAACTTTGGGAAGGTGACTTTGAGTCTGTCATTGCTGGAATGCTCATCCTAATTGGGATTTTCAAATGGTTATTGCTGGTGACCCTGGTGCTCTCTGTGGTTAAGTTTAATGACAGAAATGACACTACAGCTACAGAAAGCAGCTGAATCTGACTGCCCTGGTGATCCATCTCACCAGAGTCCCACGGGAGAAAAGGGATTTGGGGAGAAAGGGACAGCAGGGAAGGTTGAATCCTTCCAGCACACTGTCCCCTCATGATGCCTCAGGGCTCTGTGGTGGGAGCAGTGCCTTTACAGGGGGTGCAGGGGGGGTCCAGCCAGGGCAGCACCAGCCAGGGCACAGCAGAGCCCGTTTCAGCCAGAACCTGCTCTCCTGGAGGGAAATTCTCCCTGGGAGGGTGGGCAGGCCCTGGCACAGGGTGCCCAGAGCAGCTGTGGCTGCCCCTGGATCCCTGGCAGTGCCCAAGGCCAGGCTGGACAGGGATTGGAGCAGCCTGGGACAGTGGGAGGTGTCCCTGGCATGGCAGGGGTGGAATGAGATGAGCTTTAGGGTCGCTCCCAGCCCAAGCCACTCTGTGATTCCAGGATTTGATGCCAGGAGCTGTAGGGGTGGTGTAGATGAGCTCAGGGGCAGGTCCATGAGCTGCTGGTGCCTGGGGAGGCTGAGGGCCCGGGCTGGGAGGGGTGTCTGGAGGGAGACCCTGAGCACTGAGTGTGGTTCTGGCTCAGAGCTCACCCTCAGCACCCTCTGGGTGTAGCGAGTTCCTGATTGATCTCATTTTCTTCATGGAATTGCTCTGGAGCCATAATTGTTTTTGTGTCTGAGGCTTTATGACAATGATCCCAGCCAGACAGGAAGTGTGTAAACCATGGTGAACACATAATAAAATGTGGTTTATTCCCAGACATGGCTTGGCTGTGAAAATCAGACTGGACTTTTCAGACCTTTTCCATGTTTTTCTCTTCTAATTTAGTGGGCAGCAGGCTGAGAAAACTGTCCTGTTCAATCCATGAAACAGAAGATAGGATCAGGTCTTTAATCACACAGAGAGGAAGGGACTGGTTGATTTTCTAACTCCATTTGGAGCAGGATCAGGAACTAAGGACCTTTATGTGCAGCAAGGAAAAGGGAGGCTGGGAAATAGGAACCTGCCTTAGCACAGGGCTAGTGAGGTGCTAGGAGTGATTGTTTTGGAGAATTTATGGGATATCCTTCCCTGGGGGTTTGGAAGAGCAACTTAAAGGAGCATCAGGGTAATGCCTCAGGTTTCAGCTTTTATATTTTTAGATTCTAAAGATGCTGCTTTAGTGTGTGGGCCTGGGCTTCATATCAGGGCATGGTGAGCTCTGTGCACAGAGCAGGGAGACAAAACAATTCCTGCTCTAGCTGGGGACCAAGGACAAATGATCCAAACCTCAGGCCCAAGAGCACAAACAACGTGGGCTGAAGAGAGAAAAAGAAGAAGGATGGGACTGCATGGGCTAAAGCTGGAATTGGACAGTGAACTGCAAGATGCCAATGGAGCAGAACTTATAAAAGTATGAAATCCCATGACCTGTCGTGCATTTTTTGACCATTTTGGTTCATCTAGGGTGCAGCCCTGGCTGGGCTCTTGTGCTGCTCAAGGTGGATCCATTGAGGCCTCCTAATAAATCTCTACTTTATTCTTTAATTCTATCCAGCCTCTGTTCTAGGTCAGCCTTCACAAGGCATCAGGGCAGTAAGAGACAGGGTTATGGGCAGCTGAACCATCACCTACTAAATCAATTAATATAATGGGGAAAAAAGGATGTTTTAGACACATGTTTTCCCTTCCTCAAGAGGCAGAGATGCTTCTTTTGAGGAAGGAGGATGATTCTGGACATTAGTTTGCAAATGCCTTAAGATACTCTATACATTCAGCACAAAAAGTAAAGTGCTGAGATTGTCCTGGGGGTCAAAAACCTCCAGCAGCTGCCAGACTCACACAGCTCCCCTTTCTCCAAAATTCTCTTGCAGGACCTATTGCCATGTTTTCCTGAGGGGAGAAGTAGCTGTGGCACACTTATGGAAATGCTCCCAGGTACTTTTTCATGGACATGGTGGAAGCACCCAGAATCGCTGGAGAAAGAGCTGCTGTCTGCACTCAGCCTTTGCTAAAGGGAAAGGGAAAATGAAGATGCTCAGCTGGACATTTATTCCACAATTTTTGGTGCAGATGAGGAGAAATCTGAGAGCTTGAACAGAGCCTCTGGGGATGGGAGAAAACTGAGGGCAAGGGAGGTGACATTGCCCTGCTCTGCCATCCCTGATGGGACAATCCATGGGCCAGCTCCAGCATCCCTTGGACAGGAGGCAATTATTGTACTCAACAGTTTCTTCACTGCAGCTCATCCTGTCATTGAGGGTCACACTGGAGACCTTCTGAAGTTCTCTGTTTGCAAACCTAAACCTCGTGGTTATTGTAAAAAAGATGAAAAAGCAGATTTTTCCCATTGCTCAGTTCCCAGAGTTCCTGTGGCTGAGCTGATGCTTGCCCTGCTCTGGAGAGGCTGAGGGCTGGAGATCCCTTCTGGCACCGTGCTCCGGAATAAACGGCCGGGCCCTCTCTAAACACATCCACACTCACTGCAAAGCGCAGCCGGCCTGGCTCCGGCCTCTGGCTGCTGCTGCTTGTTGTGCCTTCCCTGCCAACTCAAATAAGCAAAAGCCCTGTTCTGTTGGGTGTTTTCTTTTGGGGAGGGTGCTCAGCATCCCCGGTCCCGCAGGAGCAGGATGGATCTGTGCAAGGCAGGATGAGACCGAGCTCCCATTGTGGGGCCGGGCAGCAGGATGGGGTGAACACAACGCGCCACGTGTCACAGCTCCCTGCAGATATCCCAGGGGATCCTGGAGCTGGAAACAATTCCCTCCCAGGGCTGCTGCCAGCACAGAGAGCCCTGGCTGCAGAAACAGCTCCCAGCAATAATCAGGACACGGCTGGCGCAGCTGGAAGTGCAATAAACATCAAAGCCCCTCCACAAGGGCAAGCACTGCCAAGGAGTTCCTTGTGTGTTTGGGTGCAAAGGATTTACAGCTGGATTGTGCAGTCCTGGGTGGAGACTGGGAGCTGGCTGAGGGATTTACCATGGGAAATAGGGCTTTGTGCTCGTGCTGTCATGGGAAAGTCCCAGTTAGCCACGGGAGCTGCAGGTCGGGGCTGCAGCTGCACTTTGCTCGCGGTGCTCGCTGCTTTCCCGGTAATTTTTCCAAAGGGTAAACAGGAGAATTTTGGTTTTCTGTTCTTGGCAGTTGTTTTTCTGTGGGGCTAGGTGTATCTAGACTGACCTGGATGGAGTCTTCTCTCATGGCAGCTGAGATATTCCCAAAGCCAGCAGCTCACCCCACTCACTCCTCAGCACACAGAAGGTGATGCCAACCAAAAGACAGGTGAATTTTAGGTATTTATGCTTTGGTATTGTTTTTGGCAATTGTAGACATTTAAAGCATGGTTTTTCCAGCTGCTGACCAAAGAGAGGGACTACTTTAAACCCCCAAACTTTGCCAGGGTTTCCTATAGAGACCTGAGCCAGCTGTTGGAAAGGTTTCAGCAGGGTTTAGATCAGGCTCAAGGCAGGCTTGTGGTGTCCAATCTGTGTTCATGGAGGGCTGGAGTCACTGGGGACGATCTCTGGCAGTGGTGTGGAGTCACAGGGACTGCTCCTGTCCACTCAGAACTGCTGATGGGGAGGGAGCATCAATTCCCAGTGACAAGGAACCCTGGACTCGTCCCTTCCCTGGCAGTTTTGGGGGATGTCCCACCCGCAGAGCCCACAGGGCAGGGCTGCACCTCTGTGTCATCCTGTGCTTGAAAACGCTTTCAGGAAAGAGATCCAGCAAGCTAAAAATAGGCTTTGCAACTCAGGTATTGGCACTTCTGTCAGATGACCCAAAACAGAAAAAAATACCAACCACTTAACACAGGTGCAGCTGGTTTCTGGGTGAAACACAGCAGCAGTGAGCAAGACCCAGTTCTTAGGACTTCCACATGGAAAAAAAAATCCTCTTTTAGGAAACCTGGAAAGCAGAGAGTCCTGCCAAAGCCTAAGTCCTGTTTTATTAAGTGCCTAAATAAGGTGTCTCTGCCTTGAGGGTCTCACAGCAGAACAGGTGGGGTGGGAATTGAGGAGAGAGGGGAAAAGTGTTGTTCTGTTTCTGTTCAACAGAAAAGTGTTATTCTGTCAGTTATCTGGTGGATAACTGACAGCCCAAACCAGGGCCAGATCCACAGAAGTGTTCAAGTGCCTAATTCCCAAATGGCATGGGGGGGTTGGCCACTGGCTGCCAAGTTGTTCTGAATTGCAATGACTCAGTCAAAGTGTTATGGAAAGTTTAGAGAGCCGGGAATTAATCCCGGATCTCATCAGCAATTAAAATTAATCGTTGCCTTCCTCTGCCCGTCCTCAAGGACTGGGCCTGGGCATCCTCTCCAAGCACCACATTCCCTGCTCCTCTCTGGTGAGCCAGTCTGGAAGCAGATCTTAGTGGGAGGCAATTAAAACCCACTTGGATGTAGAAACAACCTGGGAGACAAACAATGTGGGGAAGCTGCGAGCACGGAGCGGCTCTGCTGCACCCCTGTGCTGCCCAGGGCTGCTTTTTCCATGTGAAGGGAAGGAAAAGCAGCCTGGCTTGCTTTTCTCCTGGCTGCACCACCCCTGCTCCACCAGGCTGCTGCTCCATCACCCTCCAAGCTGTTTATTTTAGGGCTCTGGGTTTGCTCCTGGTGATGTGGATCCTGTCCTTCTCCTGGCCCTGCTGCTCCTCAGGTTTGGAGCTGGGTCTGGGATTTTGGAGGGGAAATCACTCCATGCCCAGTGCAAATGAAAAATGGGGGCACCACCAATCCAGGCTTGATGGGACCCAGAGCCCAGCCTGTGCTTTCTGCCTACCTACAATTTTTTAATAATATTATTTATTAGCAGAGCTCAAAGCACTTTACAGAGGAGACTTTCCAAGTTTCTTCCCAAACTGATTATTCTTTCCAATGATCCTGAGATTCCCTAGATTTGTTTGAATGCTGCTCTCTGGTGTTTATGAACCACCAAGTAGGAATGTGATCTGCTGGGAATGGTTCAGGAGACAAGCTGTGAAAGGGGCTGGTGGCTAAGGGATTTTGTAGGAAATGGATTTGTAGAGAATTTTCAAAGCTTGATAAAATGTTTACATAGTATGGATCTGCATGTAAACTTTGAGATAAGAAATGCTGACTTAGAAATGCTATGGAATAGGACAGACATTGTTGAGAGAGAATAAAAATTCATCATTCCTGTTCTTTCCACCTGCTTTTCTTGAGTGTCCTGGCTTGAGTGCCAGGGGAGCACTTGAAGGATAACCCTGCCTGGAAGAGATTCCAGTCTCACAGAAGCAACAGCTACAGGCCAGGTAAAGCATCTTGGCCTGACAATTCATCTGAGTCCAGATTTTGGGTGAATGACCCAGGTTTTGCTCCCACATTTCCTAAGTCTTCATGTATCCCCCACATCTCATATCCCCACAGTGTGGGCAGCAGGGCAGGGGGGGTTCTGCCCCTCTGCCCTGCTCAGCTGAGACCCCACCTGCAGAGTTGCCCTCCTTCAGCTCAAGGACATTCCCCTGTGTCCTGTCCCTCCATCCCTTGTCCCCAGTCCCTCTCCAGCTCTCCTGGAGCCCCTTTAGGCCCTGGAAGGGGCTCTGAGCTCTCACTGGAGCTTTTCCTTCTCCAGGTGAGCACCAGCCCAGCTCTCCCAGCCTGGCTCCATGGCAGAGCTGCTCCATCCCTCTGCCCATCCTGGTGCCTGCTCTGGACTCAGATGGGAGCTTCCCCCCTGTTGAGGTGGTTGGGTGGTGCTGGGTGGGCTCCTCTGGCAACTGGGGCCAGGAGAGCTCCCAGCTGGGACTTTGCTGCTGCTGCAGAAGCCCCAGCTCCCTTCTACAGCCTGGCTTCCCAGCAGGAACGTTCCTGCCTTTGGGACACCAGCAGCACCTCCTGCAAGGACACCTGTTGTTGACTCACCTATTGTAAATGGGACAGAATTCCTGGAAGCTGCTGCAGTCAGAGCTGCAGAGGGGTTTCATGTTACTGAAGGGAGCAGTTTGTTGTGTGAGCAAACATTTCTCCAAACCACCTCCTGCTTTCTCTTCCTTGTTTCAGCACCTCAGGGCTGGGCTGGCCTCGCCCTTGGCTGAGAAATCTGCTTTAGGATGCTCTGGGTTGAGGATGAAAGTCTGGAATCTGGGTGCCTGTCCTATGGCTGCACCTCATCTTTTTGATTATATCAAAAATATATCTCAAAACACGTGTCTGCTTTTGAAATACCACATTTCTCATGGCATTATCCATCCACAGGCTGTGGCAGAGATAAGGAGAGCAGTGGATGGAACAACAACAGTGGGAAATCCTGCTGGGTTTTCATCAGCTTTGAGGAGGAATTTTTGCAGTGGAAATCTTTTGTCTGGGAAATGCCTGCCCATTGTAATGGAAAGGGTCTATAGGAAGAGGTTTGTTTGGACAAATTTTCTGCTAAGTGTTTCTAGGGGGAGGAAAACCAAATTGGAAATGTGCCAGACCTTCCCAACTCAGCAATTTCAAAATAACAGTTTGAAATTCCCTTATTTGAACCTCCCTTTGGAAATAACCATGAGAATGGAGAAATTTAATTTAGGAAATGCTAAATTAATGAAATACTGAATTTGCACCAAGCAAAAGCAAGAAAGGCCTGTGTGGGACCAGGCAGGTGTTAGTGTCCAGCCTAAGCTGATTCTGTGTCTCCTCAAGGTTACATCCATCTCCCCCAGGGCAGGGAGCCGTGTTCCAGAGCCCCTAATTCCCTTTTCCAGCTGCTGGTGTGCTGGGAAACCAGCAGCACCACGGAGCCCAACTGCCCTCTCCCAAGCTGCTGCTTTGCCTTGTGCAGAAGCTTCCCCAGGGGTTGCACCACCTTTGGGACTTGCTGTAAAATTAAAAATGAAATTAAAAAGCCATGTTGGGACTGTTGGATCAGAGCAGAAGAGGGAGGCAGGACATTCCAGGGAAGGCTGCTTTGGTGGGAGAGGTGTGACAGTGCTGGGACCATGCAGGGGGACAGTCCCTGCCCCTGGTTTTAGGCTGGTGGCTTTGAGAGGACAGTGATGCTGTCGAGACTGAAGGATGGAGAGTGGCATCCCTTCCACCTGTGCTGCAGCATTAGGTGCTCCTGGGAGCTGGAATTCTGGGATTCTGGCATTCTGGGCAGTGCCTCTGGGATTCCCACTCCATGGACCTTGGCGTGGTGCAGCCCAGCCAGGGAAGGGGCCTGACCCCCTCTGTGCCATTGCTGTACCATAAAAGCCCTTCCAAGCAGTTTTAAAAGGAAAAGCAGCGTTCTGGGTGGGCATTAAGGAGTGTCAAAGGGAGGCCAAGGCGCTCAGAGCCCCCTGGTGTGATCCTTGCTCTGATCCCAGGCTCAAATCCCCCCTCTGCTGAAGGCAGCAGTGTTGGCCTCTAATGAAGAGAGAAAATTTCCAATCCATGTGCTCTTATTTCTTGGAATTATACAGCTACAAACCGAATTGCTTTCTATATTCTGCAGAATGAGATGATCTTTCCTTTCCAACACAAACCATTCTATGATTCTCTGCCTTTTAAAAATCCCATTATTACCAGCACAGTGGCTGTAACCTGAGGCAGCTTCTATGGTTTAATGATAAAACCTCGAGTTGGAGACACATTATTTTATATTCCTTTGAATGTATTCCAGCTCCCAGCTACTACAGCTGTCAGCAAGGGAAGAGGGGCCTGACAATGCAGGGAAAAGCAACCTGTCATCCTTTGGAGCAGGAAACCAGCTCCTTCATCCCACACCTCAACTCAGATGGGAAAGAGAAGTTAAAGAATAATTACCCCAAAGCAGCAGAATTATTACAGCAAGGACGAGATGTGCTCTGCATGAGCCTTGCACGTGGGCTTTGTATTGATACTAATGAGAGCAAAAAGTGCAAATAAAAAGTATTTTTGAGGAAAACAATGTCCTGTACATTGAAACATTCCACCTTGACTCTTACTTGACAAGAGTCACTTACTCCAAACGCCTCAGCAGAAACACTCCTTTCATTAAGCTGCAAGCAAATCCTTGTATTCTATCAGTGCCAAACAAACCCTGTAAACCTGACAAAGCCACGATTTCCCCAGCAGCCCGGCTGCCACCCCTGAGCTGCAGGGCTGCAGTGGCAGCTCCCAGCCTCTGCCCGGCTGCCTTTGGAGCCCCCCGTGAAGCCGGACCCCCAATCCCCCCCGTCCCAGCCCGGTTCTCGCGGGTGCGGAGCAGCTCACCTGGGAGCAGCAGGAGGAGCCCGAGCAGAGCGCGGAGGGACGGGAGCGGCATCTCCGCGCTGCTCTGAGCCTGGCGGAGCTCTGGCCATCCCGGGAGGGACCGCAGCAGCGATTCGCCTGCCTGGGCTGACTCTCGCTCAGCTTCCTGTTAAAGAATAGGAGGAAACGGGCTCAATCCACAGGGGAACTGTGTTTTTCAGCCCATTATGGCCGGGGAGGATGTGAGCCATCGCTCACCGGCGGCGGAGGAAACCTCGCCGGGCTTTGCCGGGGTTCGGTCCCGCTCGGAGGGATGCTCCGCTCCGGGCCTCGGGGCTCCCGTGCGGTGCCGGGGCTTTTTGGGAGGTGTTTTGTGTGTGGGGCGAGGTGCCCCAGGTCTCTTCCCCCCACATCTGCCTCCCTGGGGTCAGAGCCGCTGGAGGAGCCTCCCCGGCACCTGAGAGGGGGGTTCTTACACATCCGTGGGGAATTTAGAGATAACTGCTCCTCGTGGGGCCAGGGTGGCTCAGCAGCTGGGCCTGCCCTGTGCCCTGTGCCTCCCCGGGCAGCTCCAGCGAGTCTGGGTACTGGGACATGCCAGCTTTGGCATGGTGGCCTTGGCACGGTGACTTTGGCATGGGGGCTTTGGGATGCTTCAAGCAGCACCTTGCAGGACACACAGCACATGCTGGGCTTGGATCTACCCCATTCCCAGTTCCTGGAGAAGGGCAGGAACTGGAAAACTGGGCCCCATCCACCCCAAGGGGCTCAGGCATTTGGTTTCTTGGCCCTGACCTTGTGTTGTGCTGCTCCGTGCAGGTCCTGCCTGTCACAGTGGGAACCCCAGAGGTTCTGGTTTATCCTGTGCTGGATGTCAGTGGTGTTTGCAGGAGGAGAAGCATTTTAGTGTTCCCACCTAGGAAAGGCTCCTGTGTCCTTCTCAGGGGTCTGTGCGGGTGTTCAGGACGCAAAGCCAGAGGATTCTGTCTGCTGGTCTGAGGGGCTGCTCCAGCCCCCTCCCACAGCTCCCAAAAGCCACAGAGCCTCAGCCAAAGGCCAAGGAGATTCTCCTTCACTGCATGGAGAGCATCAAGGGTGTCTTATGCTGCCAGCAGGATCCTGGTTCCCACAGCTGGCAGACAGCAGCAGCACTGGAGGGAATCATCCCCCGTGCATGGCACAGCTCCTCACATTCCGTGGGTCTCTTCCAACCCCTCCAACCCCTCAGGAAAACCAGCAGGCCCAAGGCTGGAGGCCTCCACAGCAGCCTGGCTGGGACAAACCCCCTGCCAGCAGCCCCCCCATCCTTTTGTCCCTTGCACAGATGTGATGCTCAGAGATTATGCTGTAGATTAAGGTTTTACTGAATCCTGAAATGAGTGCAAATACCCAGAAGCTCACGCGCAGTTGAATCTCTTCTGGATGCTCGGCTGGATGGGAAAAGGCATTTCCCACCGTATCCTCCCCACGTGCAGGAAGGACAGAACCCAAATATTCACCCCAGCCTGTCTGCTGAGAGCCTGCAGGTAAGAGCAGTGGTGTTTTGGGGTGGAAGGATGGGAAGATGCGTTTTGTAATGGCTGAAACTCCGAGGGATCCATATTTTCTGCTCTGTGATGTGCTCAAGGTCACTGCTGGGGCAGAGGCTGTGACACAGCACCCCTGGGCCAGGGGATGTACCTGTGTGCAGGGTGGGGACATGTGTGAGGGGAGGGATGTGCCAGCCCTGACCTGGCTCTGGCTCCTGCCTGTGACCCCCAGCAGCTCACACAATCCTTTAGGTTGGAAAAGCCTCCAAAATCATTGAGTCCAACAATTGAACTGGAGGCCCAAAGCATCCAGAGCTTCCCATGGACTCACCCCAGAGCCGTGCTGGCAAATGGGCAAATTCTGCAGCAGTGGGACCCCCGGCAGGGACCATCATCCCCGGGGCTGTGCCATCCCTGGGGACAGGGCCCTTCCAGCCCGGAGCACAGCGTGGGTGTGCCGGGCTGTGCAAACAGCTCACATGCCCAAGGGGATTTTTTACACCCATTCCTTCACCTCATTCAATTTTCACGGCCCGCCGGTGGCAGCAGGGAGGTTTCCTGCAGCCGAAGGGGGAAGGGAGGGTGCTTGTCCCCAGACAAAGGGCCCTTGTCCCGCCGCGGGGACAGGAGGGTCGCAGCGCTGATGTGGCAGCGGCGGGGCCGGGGCAGCGCTGCCCACGGGATGAGCGGGCGCTCCCCGAGTGCCCCGGGGAGTCCCGGCGGCGGCGGGGCCGGGCCGTGACGTGGCAACTTCCGAGGTGAGTCCGGCTGCACCTTCCCCGAGAACCAGCCCGCAGCTCGTCCTGCCCGCCCCGCCGGCAGCTTCCCAGCCCCGCCGCCGGAGATGATGATCCCCATGCAGCAGGGACGCCCAGGTACCCCGGGGGGCTGGCAGGGCTCTCCTTCCTTCTTTCCTTCCTTCCCCATTGCCCCCTGCTCCCACCCGTGCTGGCTCCAGGGGATATTGTCTCTGGCAGGGGGCGACTGACAGGGTTGGGTCCCCCGGGAGGTCCCCGTGGGGTTTGGTCCCGGATCAGCACCGTGGGGCTGGGGGCGGAGAGGGGCGGGCAGAGGGCTCCCCACAAGAGCCAGGTGTGGTGTCCAAAGGCACCCAGGACAGGGGGATGTGGGGATTGCCTCATCCTGCGAGCCCCAGACTTCACCAAAACTTGCCCTGTGCTGCGAGCCCGAGGGAGGGGACACTCATGGGATCGTCCCATTCCCTGGCAGCTGCACGTGCAGCAGGAGCCGCGGGCTCGAGGGCAGGAGATGAGGACAGGGACGGGCTGGGCTCGGTGGTCACCGCCCTGTCCCCGTGGCAGGTCACCCCGCTGAGCCATGAACGCCTCGGTGGCCGGCAGCCAGCTGAGACAGCCCGAGCCCCAGGACGGGGCCGCCTTCACCCCCGTGTCCATCGTCAGGAGCGTGACCAAGAAATCGGACGCGCTGCCGGTGATCTCGGTGATCGTGGTGCTCTTCGTGCTGCTGGCCGTGTTCATCGTGCTGCTGGTGCACTACGGCCCCCAGCTGCGCACGGTGCAGGTCACGCTGCACCACGAGCCCATGGCCCAGCACATGGACAGCGTGCTCCTCACCCACTGGAGGTGCCTGGATCCCCACGGCAAGATGGGCTCGGCTGGAGTGACCTGCCACTGCTCCTGCAGCCACCACCTTCCCCTCGGGAGTGCTGAGCCCAATGTCATCGAGATCACCTACCTGTGACACGGCCCAGGGCCACCCTGGCAGGGCTCGAGGGACGTGTCCCACTGGAAAAGCTGGGGTGGGATGTTCGGGTACCTCAGGACTCGCTGCTGCCCACTCACAGAGGCTGCACCTCCCCAGACCCGTGTCTGGCCCCAGGAATGATCAGCCAGGAGGTTGAAGACCCATCTCCAGCCCCCAGAAGTCCAGCTCAGGGGTGTCACTGTCCCCAGGCAGGAGCTGGGTCCCAGCCTGGACTCTGGGGCTGGCTCAGCCTGTGTGGGACAGCTTTAGCATCTTTTCTGGTTTTACCTGCCCTGGTTTTACCTGTCCCACACTGCCTGGGAGTGGCCAGTAGAGCTGCCTGGGTCCTTGCCCCAGCTGGGGAACTCTGGGGCTGTGCTCAGTCCCCTGGCAGTAGCTGGAAGTTGCATCATCTGGAATTGTTTTCCAGTGAAAGATATTTCCACACTCATGGTGTCCTCATTACACTGTTTATATGGCACAGAGGAGCTTCCAGCTGCTCTTTGCCTCATGCCACAGTCCCTTTTCCCACACTGGGGGGGCTGGAACACGGTCCTGCCCCTGCCAGCCCCCCCAGCCCCTCGGGCAAACAGCCAGGGGAGAGGAGGGCAGAGGATGCAGCTCCTGATTCCGTGTTGGGTGGAGCCAGTGACAGGGGACACGTGTCCTGCCCCCAGTGGACGTGGGTGAGAGAAGAGCAGTGACACAGCAGAGGCAAGAGGTGATAATGGCACATCACAGCTGGCTGAACATCTGGAGGTGCTGGCACCAGAGAGGAAGCTCACAGTGACTCTGGGCAGAGCCTGCAGCATCTCTGTGCAAAGGGATGGGGAGACCTGACGTCACCCCCACTGTGGTCACCCTCACTGTGGTCATCTCCCTGTCCCCATCCCTGAGTGCTGTCCCAAGGAGGGAGCAGTGGTGGGGTTGGCACTGTCACCCTCAGTGGGATGATGCTGAGGTGGCTCTGTCACCCTGGGGAGAACCTCGTTGAGGTGGCACAGAGGGATCAGGAGAGGTGAAACCAGAGTCCTGCAGGCTCCTGGGGCTGTCAGAGCACGGTCCCTGTTCAGCCCTGGGGTCTCTGCTGCTGGAGGCACTGGGATCTCTGCAGTCCCAGTTTCTCCTCCTGTGGTGTCTGCAGTGCCTGGGGAGGGAGCAGCCTCTGAGATCCCTCTGAGGATTTATTCTGCTGGACAGCCCCAGAAGTCAGGATAGAGCTTCACCTCCCACGCTGGAAAAGCCAGGTCTGTGTCTGCCCTCAGATCCCTGGCACAGATCCCTGTGGGCACAGCTGGACAAGAGATGGGCTTTACCTGTTCCTCCAGGAGTTGGAGGTATTCCCAACTGTCAGATGCTCCTCCTCTCACTTATTTCCAGCCCTTCTTTTGCTTTAAAGCTGACTTACTGGAAACTTTTTGTCTCCACAAAAAACATAATTTATATTACTTTTTGGGAGGGTTGTTTTCTGTTTCGAATTTGTTCCCATTTGTTTTCCAGGGCTGATAGGGCATTATCAGCTCTCTCACACCCGTGTTAGAGGAGATAAGGGCTGTCATTTCCATTGAAAATCGTGGAGTCCTGCTCCCCTTTTCATGTCAAAAGAGGGCTTTGTTTGCAATGTCTACATCCCTAACATCACCCCTGAGGAGATGATCACCTCTAGGGACTTCTCCTAATTAAGAAATCCTCTGTAAGGGTGGGGAGCCCTGGCACAGGGTGCCCAGGGAAGCTGTGGCTGTCCCTGGATCCCTGGCAGTGCCCAAGGCCAGGCTGGACAGGGCTTGGAGCAGCCTGGGACAGTGGAAGGTGTCCCTGC